AACTTCTCAAGAATTGCCAGCTGTCCTGGTTTTGGCTGGGATAGAGTTAATTTTCCTGCCAGTAGCTGCTGTGTTTTGGATTTAGTACAAGAAGAATGTTGATAACACTGATGTTTTCAATTGTTGCTAAGAAATCAAGGACTTTTCCCACTTTCTCATACTCAGCTAAGACGAGGTGGGCAGGAGCTGGGAGGGAGCACAGCCAGACAGATAGCCCAGCTGGCCAGTGGAAATATTCCATACCGTGGATGTCGTGCTCTGTTTGTGAATGGGGTTGGCCGAAGAGCAGAAATCTTTCTTTCTTTCTTGTTTCTGTGAGTTTGAATCCCCCCTTGTCTGGGAGTTTGAGCTTTTCTGGAAGTTTGGTCTTTTTCTGGGAAGTCTTGTGAAATTCTCAAAATTCGCAAATTTGGGATTTTGTGATTGCTGCTCAGGGTCTGGCTGTGAATTGGTCATCAGGTGGTGAGAAAACAGTACTGTATATAGTTTGTTTTGCATATTTGGTATCATCAGTGTTACCTACTTTGCTGCCTTATTACACTGTCTTTATCTCAGCCCAGGAGTTTCCCCTTGTGTCCATTTCTCCTCCCCATCCCTCTGGGGGGAAGGGAGGGGTGAGCGAGCGGCTGGCTGGTACTGAGTTGCTGGCTGCCGGGTTAAACCACGGCACCAATGAAAATAGGGCGGGTGTTTAAATCTGCACCCCACTGGTTAATAATGCTTTAATTAATCTGTTAAAATGGAAAGCTATTTCTGGTGTATTTTGCTTTGGATTTTACTAACTTTTTTGGGAGACTTTTGGTTAAATTAAGTTACAGCCTTTGTTCTTGGCGTTCACCCGACTGTTCTTGCTGAGTACTGGCGACAGCAGTCGACAGGCTGCAGCCCGGTGTCTGCCTGACTGCGGGCAGTGAGTTCCCACCTCCTTTCGCTTCTCTGAGATGCCTGGGTTGATAAAGGGTGCTTTTGTCCACAGGTGCAGTTCAGCCCTAGGTCAAGTCAGTAAGGCACCTTGAGGCCTTTTCCGAGGCTTGAGCAGAGCTCAACCGAACTGATGGGATGGAGTTTGCGTCCCTGAGTGGTTTGGGTGGAGTACGCTGTTGTGGCGAGGCGGGGCGGCTGTGGCTGGGCCCTCGGGTTCTGCGGTGCTGCGCGGGGCACACGGAGCTGCTCAGGTCCCTCTCCTGCATTGGGCTCGCAGCTGCGCCTCGCCCGCGCAGGTACAGCTCGGGTCACCGGTGGCTGCGCCATGCGGGCACCATCCGCCAGAGCCAAAATTGCCGCTCGGGGAGGTCAGTTAGTTATAAACTGGCATTACGTGCCGATCCCGGAGCTCTAATCCTGTAGGATTATCTCAAGTTTGGCCATGAATCCAGGGTTGTAAGGGAGTAAATCTGTCCCTGGAAGCCAGCAGATGCTCATAATTGGCAGCGAGACTTCAGTCATTATCACATATCTCCAAGAAGTAATTAAGAGAAAGCAATAATTAATCTAATTCTAACCAATAGAGCAACAGGACTGATTTATTTGGTATGAAATTAGAATTTTAGTTTGAAATTGGAAGGCACATGTATTAATTATGGGGTATAACTGGAGCTGAAGAGCATTGTAGCTTTGTGCCAAGGTATGAGAGAATTCTGATCTTTTTTTCCAACATTGTCACTTGATAGACACTTCTTTTAATTTATAGAAATGTAACGTAATGAACTATTAATAGAACTTCATTTAACACCTGTGCAGTCTGATTGGCTCAGGGAAAACCTAATCCCTTTATAATACATATTTCAGCAAGATGAATGGGGAAAATCAGGATTCAAGTAGTATGAAGCATCTGATTCTGTAATTTACATGAGGAGTAGTAATTTTTTTTTTTGTCTGACTTTTAGCTCATACGGTAAGCATTGGATGCTAAGTAATCATAACTAAAAATCATAAAAAGCTAAGGCCTCTACAGGAACTGATGTTTATGTTCAGTATACTGTGAGGCTGAGCTTCTGTTCTCTGCATCGTAATACGGCAAACTGTCTGCGTGTTGGAGTCTCTGGGGTTTCCATCTTGGACTCTGCAGTCCTGACGATTGGGGCGTTATTTTGGTATCTAAATACGGATTCTGGAGCCTGACTTTGGGCATTCAGACCTGAGTTGAAAGCAGTGACCACAGCCCTCGTAACACCTTCAGGGAGAAGTGAATAAAACAAATCATACTGTGATTACGGGTGGAGAGAAATGAAGAACTTAAATTTTGTCAGTCTTCATTTCAGAGGAATTTCTTTGGTTTTAATCTCAGTGTTTCATCTGCTAATCTAAGGAGGTGGCGGCAGCTGGGAGGGCACCTCCTCTTACCTCTTTCCTTTTGCAGACAGAGGTCTTGCTTGCCACTGAGAAAGCTAAAATGAAACGTGCATAGCTGCAGAAAAACCTAACCCATTTTCAGCATAATGAGCTCAAACTTGATTAAAATTCTTGTAATAAAATGCTGCTGAGGAAGTAGCCATACAGTAATGACTGGAATGTGTCCTCGGTCTGGAGGACTCTGCTGAGCACGTAGCGCAGCGCAGTGTACAGGCCAGTTCATCTGGACGGCGGCAGTCCTGCGGAAATTCAGTGGTGCTTCCTTAGTTTTGTGCGCACTTTTATTTTTAAGTGAACTAATTTGGCTTCTATAATAGAATTCTGATTTTTCAAATGTACCTTTTCAACAGTAGGTAAGGAGAATAGCGGCTCTGCAGATTGCAAGTTGCAGCGCGCTTGACAAGGGATTTTTATGTTTTGCTTGATGTATTCAGCTGAAGATTTGGTGCACGTGACTTTTACTTACATTCCTAATAATGTTGCTAATCCTCACAATGTTTATAACCTCATTATCTTTAGTAACCTGTCTTGGCGAACCTGGAAGCATAGGTTTAATCTTCTCTGCTGTGGTCTTTGGGGCAGATAAGTAGTGAAGCAGTGCAAAGGAGTTACGCCACTTTTTAATGCATCTGGCTGCTACTTGAAACTACATTTCAGTATTTGCCATAGCATCTACCTGAACTGATCTCATCCTTTGCAAGGGCCTGTTCATAGCTTGTGCTGCTGTTGAACTGTGTGGGGAATAAGGACTTGCAGTGATGTACCTAGCAGGATTCAAGATTTTTGTGATTGTTGAGCCTTGAAGATGAGTGACAGGATTCCTGACAAAAGTTCTTTGCAGTCTGGAGGGTTTTAAGTAAGTCTGCTTTGAAATACTTTGCTTACAGTGGAAAATAACTTAAGCGAGATGAGGGGAAAACAACTTGTGCAAGATTTGGACAGAGCGCGTGGGCACTGGGAAGAAGTGAAGGTCGCCTGTTTCCTTTGAGATCATGTTGGATTGATGCACTTTTTTTTTTTTTTTTAAAAAAAAAGAAGGCTGAATTATTTTGTTCTTCATCTGTTGATCTCGGCAGGTATCTCTTTGAGATGCCATTGAATGTTTGGGGCATCTTATGTCAGGTGGCACATCCTGTCACTGTATCTTCTGTTGGCTACGCCGTTTATGCCTTGATGCCTCCGTAGGTCTTCCCTCTGGCTGAACTGCTGTCCAGATGGCGGTCACACCGGTCGTATGTTGTACACGGTGCCGTCGAGCTAGCGAGAGGATACAGTCTGGCTATCCCGTAGAAAAGAACAGGGTCATAATTATCTTGATCTAGCATGGCTGCTGTCAGTAGTGTGCAGATGGATGAACTAAACCAAATGAAATATTTCAATTCCAGGAGCTTTTAGTTGTGTTCACGGTGTTGAAACAAAAGGTTTCTGATCAAATTTCTGTAAGTGAAATTCAATACATCATATTTACCCCCCAAGCTTTGAATGAAAAAGTAGAAATAATAAAGATTTATATTTGTTAGGAAATCAGTGACTCTACTTTCCTAAATTTATGGTTGTTAATGTTTAAAAAAAAACCCAAACCAAAACAACAACTCATCTGTCTTTCCCTGGGGGATAACAGAACTGAAGAGAAAATGTATCTATTCCCACATTAGGAATAGCTCAGAAACAGATGCTTTGCAAAATAATTACTGTAAGAGATTAGAGTTAAATGCACTGTTGCCAAAATTAGAAAACGAACTTATTAATGGCCTTTCTAAAAGCATGGTTGTTTAGATTACAAACTGTTGTGATGACTGCTGTGTTTCTGAAAAAATGCTTGAAAAAGATGCCAGGTGTATGTAGGGAGAAAAGAAGGAAACACTTCAAACCAAAACCCACCCACACTCTGAGCCCTGGTTTTATATACCTGTCTGTCAAAAGCAAATATTTTACCTGAAGGCTTCACCATTCAGGGGGTTACCTTCGTGAGGGCAAAGTGAGGATTGCGGGAGAATTTCGTTCTGTGGAAGTGATGAAAACTTGTCTGTTTCACAATATAGATGTAATGTTCTGTTTTTTTAAAAAAGGGTGTTTTCTCATAATACATCGGTTTCATTTTGTGTCCCATTTCTTTAGTGACACTGCATAAACATTTTCTTAATGTAAATTCAGCTGACCAGTGGCACAGGACTGGCGTCAGTCTAGAAGACGACCTGAAAGCACTTGTATTCACTGTTTCGGGGGGTTGTGGTAATTTTTAGTAATGATACTTTTCCTACCCTTACCAAAAATTTCTAGTAAGGCAAAAAATACCCGACGTGACTCCCTGACAGAAGGATGGCTTTTGCAAAACTGCCAGACACCTACTTTTTCAAAATTTCTGTCAACCACTCTCAGTGAACGTTGCAACAATAAGAGCAGTAATAACAATACGTTTACTGGTTTGCAGGTCCAATAATTGCAGAACTATTACGGCTTACAGCCCCCTCTGCCTTTTGTTTTTGTTTAAAGGAACAGTGCTATGATGCGGCTTTTCATCCACCTTCAAATGTTTGCACGGCAAATCTCTAGCAACCCGGTGAAAATGCTGATTCTGTTGCCTTCCTCTTTTCAAATATTCCCTCTACAAATCCCTTGAAACTGTTCTTCTTTCCGTGCAGATTGCTGGTTGGAGCTCCTCGGGAAAAGGCCTTTCCATCCCAACAAGCCAACCGAACAGGAGGGTTGTACAGCTGTGACATCGCCTCTCCCAGTACACGCTGCACACGGGTCATATTTGATCAGGAGAGTAAGTTCCTCAGCACTTTTGGTCTGATTTTTCCTGTTTGACAGTTGCTTCTATGAATTTATACATAACTTTTTTTGTATCAGAGTAAGTTGTAGCTTAGTTGCTAAGATAGCATAAGATGCTTAAATCTTGGTGGATTTGGATGTTCTTACTCTCTCGTAAATTTATGTGACATGAAGTAATACACTTGAAGTGTTTAATAAAATGGGTGTTGTCAGTGATAAAATGTACAGACACTGCCATCTGCAGACTGTCTCCTGTACTGTATGAAGGGCCTGTTCTGAGAGGGACTTCAAAAAAAATAAAAAAAGAGTAGGTAAATGTTAATATTTGAAGCTGTATTGTGATACTCTGCAGCTGACCCGAAGATGGAGAGTAAAGAAGACCAATGGATGGGTGTAACTGTGCAAAGTCAGGGGCCAGGAGGAAATGTGGTGGTAAGTCTAAAGGACTAACTGATAAAAACATTTTGGGTCTATAGTAAATGTTCTGAATGGTCTGCGTTTCTGCGCAGCTTTCTGAGAGGTAACTTTCCTCTATTTACTCTTTTGTTTTCTTGTAAGGACAGGCTTAAATGTCTCCCTAGCAAAGAAAGACACTTGAGATTGTAAAAGCTTTAAATTATTTTTCTGACTGTGAGTTAGCTTTTCTTTATAACCTTTGTAACAACAATCTAGAATGGACAGTTTATTTTCAGAAGCTTTCAGGAGTTACCAGAGAATGCTACATTTTTAGCTCTTTCTCAGTTAAATCAATCTCTCATGGTGCTGCAGGGTACCTGCTATATCGTAAAATGTGTGTGCAGTGAAGCTTCCCCATCTAATTATATTCCTGCAGGTTAATGTCACTGCTTCCAGAACTGGAGGCGGGCAACTTCAGGGTGTGAATCTGCAGTTGTTTAAGGATATCAAGACAGTAATAACTTGCTTCAGTCTGCCTTGGAACCCAAAGGGGGGAAGAGCAGGTGGAAAGAGTCCTGCTCCTTGCATAATTAATCATTAGCTAATGCTGTCTTGTCTTTTCTGAGAAGGAACTTTTCTCTGCAAGTGCGAAGTGGGAAACGCACTGACTAGATGAGGTGTGGGCAGCCTGAAGGCCGCTGTGCAGTAGGGCAGTACTGCCGTGCCCTAGGTGTGGAGCAGCTGGGTGTTTGCTTCATGCTTGAGCCTGGATAGGAACTATAGAAAAGATAACGTTGGCTGAGAAACCCGGCTTGCTTATGCTCTGCTACTGCATCTGCTTCCGCAGAAACCACTGCTGGCAAGGGGCTTTGGTTGTTCCACCTTTTTACAGCAGTTTGTTGGTTACACTGCTTAACCTAGTGGCTATTCATCCTTTGTGTTAAAGATTTGATTGGAATTCTGTTCCCACGTGAACAGTCTAAAAGGTTAAGGAACAGGTTGTGCTCAGTGCTGCTGCTCTGTGCCAGTGACGGTTATCCCGGAAGCGGAACATCCAACGTGAGAAGTTGGATATCCCTCCCCTCCAGTGGAAGAACTTTCAGCCTCCGCTCTGTGGCACTTTTCTGGAAGGAGCGAGTTCTGTATAGTCCCAGGTAGATGGTAGTTGAATTGGTTTCTTGTGTCCTACATAAGTGCGTAAGTCATTTAACTCGTGACAGCTGTGGGGAAACATAGCCACTTCTTTTTTATGTGAGACAGGGTGGTTCTCTCCTCAGTTCTTGAAAGAGAGGGATTAGGTATCAGGAAAGGCTTTAGGGCTGAAACCCCTACATCCCACAGAGAAGAGGGATTTCACCGTGTGGCCTTCCTTGACCACGAAGCTGGTTGCTCTGACTTGTATCCATAGACGCCCAGCTTTTCTCACGTGTTGCCCATAGGGAACAGTGGACTCTCTCTGCGTTGCAACACGGATGTGTCTACAAGGTGACTTACAGCATTGCTAGCATGAAGTATTGCTGAAGGAGACCAGCCTTCGTGGATGACTTGAAAGCATCACTTCTCATTTCTTCTGTCTTGCAGACATGTGCACATCGCTATGAGAAAAGGCAGTATGTAAACACAGTGCAGGAAACCCGGGACATCATTGGAAGGTGCTATGTGCTGAGCCAGGATCTCACTATTAAGGACGATATGGATAATGGAGTATGGAGTTTCTGTGATGGTCGTTTAAGAGGCCATGAGAAGTTTGGTTCCTGTCAGCAAGGTGTTGCTGCTACTTTCACTAGAGACTATCATTACATTGTGTTTGGTGCCCCAGGCACTTACAATTGGAAAGGTACGACCTGGCTTCCTTCCTGCCTGCCCTTCCCACTTGCTCTGAGATGGCTCACAAGGGTTGCATCCCAAGTTCTAATGGTTTTTTTTTTATTTTTGAGAGGGGTGGGGATAATAGGGATCTAACTGTTTCACCCTGTTTTCACAAAATATTATGCTTCTGTATCAGAAGGATTTACTGAAGTTCCTTTACATATCTTTGAGGGAGTACTTATGAATGGATAATGGAACTTTGCACATAGGTATAGCAAATTTTTCCCTTATTAGTCTCAGTCTTATGGTGGGATTGAGTGCTTGCTTTGAGACTGCCATACTGGAACAAATGACTAAATTATTTTAAAGTTACTTGACCACCCTTTTTTCCTGCAGTTGAGCAAATGTTAGATAGCTGCACTGAGATCTTTGTTTGTCCTGCAGTATTCTCCACTTTATGAAGTCTATGGAAAGCAGTACTTCCCAAATTAAATACTGGAGGATTGCAAGAGGATAACTGAACAGAGCAATATGACATGTATTCATATGTAAATCCATGGATATCCATGTAAAATTCCACGGATAATCTAAGAGCCAAGTACTCTGTATCACCTGGGAGATATTCCAAACCTTAAGGGAAAAACTCCATAGATTTTCTCTGTTAGTTTATATTGAGAAGCATCTAAGTGGCCAGCTACGTCTCTTTTTCTTACAGTGATTTTTCCCATCATGCTTCATTACACCAGCAGCTGTAAATAGTTTCCTCTTTAGAACATCTGATCCTTGAGCCATTACACTTTTTCCCCTCGTACACCTGTGCCTGCCATATGAACCGCGTGAAATCTTGGAGTTAAGCTCTGGTGCAAGGTGTACTTTAGTGAAAACTTAATCTTCCACATATCTGTCAACAAAATCTGACCAAGCTGAAACAGCATATTGAGTTCAGACACTGTTTTACTTTAATTGCAGGGAAGTGCTATGACAGTGTATCAGTCATAGAGTACTCTCTTCTATCATGGAAAAATGTGTTTTTGCTTGCCAAAATGTTAAATGTGCCTGTTGATACAAGGGAAGCACGCATTTTATTGAACAATATGTTTTTTTCCCCTTAAATAACACTTGCTAAATATATGACCGGTGTTTGCCATAGCTGAACAGTTTTTGGTATTCCTGCGTACTTACCTCCCTTTTAAGAGAGGCTTTATGAGGTTAAGAGCTGTGCGATGAGGGTGGTTCCTGGCCAAGTTGGTCCCATGTTTTTGTTGAGAAATTTTGTAGTATCCCATGTTTTCCAGATGATTGCGTGGCCTCTCTGTAGAGCAGCGTGAGATTCAGGCACACAGATGGAACGTAGAAAATTCATTGCCTTTTGAAAACACTTTCACCCACTGCACTGTTCTGTGTTTGTCCCATTTAAACAGCAGTCGCTATCTCATTTATCAAAATATTAGTTGGAAACCATTAGCCTGTTATTTTTCTCCCTCACCATTCATTGCTTTTATTTTATCATTTCATTTCCTCAGGAGTGGTTCGTGCAGAGCAAAAGAATCAGACATTTTATGATCTGGGTATATTTGATGATGGGCCTTACGAAGTCGGTGATGAGAGCCGCCAAGATAAGAATCTAGTTCCTGTTCCAGCTAACAGTTACTTAGGTAGGATTACGTACATATGGTAAATCTCTTTAGGCTTCTTAAACATTTGTGATCCCAGCCTGCCTGGTGCAGAGATATCAGATCGGAGCAGAAGAGCCTTCATTTGTGGACCCTGTAACATGTCAGCGATTCGGGATAGTTCACATCTCCCTCCACAGTTATGGGCCAGTTCACAGTGTAAGATGGTAGGGACCTGCTGGGGGACCTGCAAGAGCTGCTCATGTAATGAGAGATTTAAGAGCTGTGGTGGGGACCTATGGATGCTCCAGGAGTGATGACAGTCACTCTCAGGGTGAGTATGCTGTACGGATCCGTAGTCCTTAGTCACAGGGTCTTTGCCGTGTGGTATCAGAGGGTTTGTCAAAATCTGAGTTTCTGCATGTAACTTGTTAAGACTGCATTCTCTCTTCCTGGTAGGTGAGCGCAATTTTTTTTATTCTTCAAGTTTTTAAAACTCCAGTAGCCTTTTTACAGGCCTTTAAAACACTACAATATGAGTAGTGTTTGTATTTTGTGTGTGTGTGTGTTGCAGGAGGTGAGTCTCTTGCCCTTTGTGCAAGTACAAAAGCAGAAATGAGTCCTTAGGCCAGTGGATGTTACTGGACAGCAGTGAGATGTGTTGGTGCAGAGAAAAGGCTTCGCTGCGCTTTTGGAAAGGCCTCAAGCCTGAATCATAAAGAACCTTTCTGTTCTAGCACAGATTTCTGTGGTGTACTGATCCACTGCTTCTGGCATATGCAACAAATACAATTTTGGTAACTTGAAACTGGAATTTCTGTGTGAGTGGTGGAAAGCTGAACAGATGGGAAGGGCATTGCTAATATAAAAAGTAAAAGCAAGTCAAGAAAAGAGCCAGCTTGGAGCTACATACCTGTTAGGAGAAATAGAACAACGTAAACTGCTGTTAAATATGAGCAGTAATGACTGAGTATGTAAAAAAAAAAGGGGGGGGAATCATAAGAGCTTATGTTCGAAAGACAAGCTGATAGCCTCTTCTGGTGAAATAAGAATTGGTGAGGAGTGCTGTGGAAGTGCCTTTTGCTGTGAACAGACTAATACGGACTTTTTGGTGTTTCGTAACAAATGCATTTATCTTGTAAATGTAAACACTGCCTTGTTTGATTTGTCACAGTCAAACCCACTTCCAGGCAAGCCTGCTGTTCCCTCTGTTCAGATGGCAAATAAACATGGTTGGAGCCGCTTTCCTTAACTACTGTTTTTTTCTCTTCAATCTTTCACTCCTGTTCACAGGTCTTCTGTTTCTGACAGCTGTATCTGATACTCATCCAGATCAGTTTGTGTACAAAACATTGCCTCCCGGCACACAGGTGGACAAACCGGTGGATGTAATGATGAATAGCTACTTAGGTTTGTGACCACCTGAGGTGGAGCATCTGGTCAGACACTATCTCCAGACCTTTGACATGAGCCTCTCCCCTCCATCCCCCCTCATCTCCAATACATTGCAAGTAAAAGCATGTAAAAACAGGGAGTCGGATGATGAGTAGCTTGCAAAATGACATGGCTTCAAAGAAACATTGGTTTGTCATGCATTTCTCCAAACCCTCTCATCCCTCCCCTGGGTGGGACTCCCTGAATTCTTCTGAAACTGCCTCATTCTGAATTGCTGTAATTGAGAATTTTCTTAGTGGTGGTGAAGTGTTTCAGAAGGGAGATTTCTATCTGCTGGCTGCTAGCTTTCTTCCTTGCAAGTGCGTAATTTTCTACTTTGACCTTTACTGGATACATTAGTATATGCAGTATATTCTCTTAACTCAGTTTTTCCTGTTTTTTAAAATGTATTGATTTCCATGAAGAATACTAAGACTAAATTTGTTTGAATATGTCCTTTAGGGGTGCATTAAGTCAAAATTGCCAATTTCACCATTACTGCGTAAAGTGATTCTCAAATACTGTGTACATCATTCATGTAAAACACTGTGCCTGTGCAGTGCCTTTTGTATGTTCGCAGTAGAGCGATGTCAACTTGTACTTGGGCAGTTCTGTAATGATTTTGCCAGCGGTGAAATGCTCGAGCTATATTCAAGTGGTAAGGTGTGGTCATTTCTAAGCTGGTGCGTTTAAGACTGATCTTGTATTTGGTGTCCGTGAAAAGTAGATCTGAATGAACAATGAAATAATTTGTTTTGTGGGAAAATACTTCAGTGTAATGTATGGAGGAGTGCAGACTTGTAAACATGCATCCACCAGTCCAAAGAGACACAGAGAATTCCCAGGGTATCATACTCGGTTTTACACAAAACTTCTATTCAATATACCACTTTAATATAGTAGGGGAATTTATTTTTCCTGTTAACAATACGAGCCATTAGTTTGCTTGTTTATATTTTCTCTCTTTCTTGGTTAAAGGTTTCTCTTTGGACTCTGGTAAAGGAATTGTCTCCCAGGATGAGATGACTTTTGTGTCTGGTGCCCCAAGAGCCAACCACAGCGGAGCAGTGGTTTTACTGAAAAAAGAGAAGAATCAGAGAGCACTTTCACTGGAACACATGTTTGAAGGAGAAGGGCTGGCTTCTTCTTTTGGCTATGATGTTGCTGTTGTGGATCTCAACAACGACGGGTATGGCCTTCGTTAACTCGTGCTGCTTGTATAATGAAGGATGGCAGTCTGGTTTAGTTCTGCTTTGGTTTTTCACATTAGAAGTACAAGGAATGCCAAGCCTCGCCTTCCATGTCTTGCTGGAGGAAATGGCGACCATCTCGGAGAACCAGTCAGAACACAGTCTACATTTCTAATGATCTAAAGAGTTTTATTTAAACAACTAGTGTAAACAAAGAAAGAAGCAGCAACTCTCATACCCAAAGCAGGCCTTAGAAGATCCTTGTACATCACAAAGGGAATATAATGTGCTTGTAGTATCAGCGGAGTTGTTGCTGCTCAAACAGTTTAACGTACTTTTCAGTCTTTGTTCAGCAGCTCTTTGGCTAGCTGACTGTGAGACCACGGTCTGACCGGTTATTTTTCACAGTTCTTCTGTAAAAGCACCAATTTTTTTTTTTCTTTAAGGTGGCAAGACATTGTTGTTGGAGCCCCGCAGTATTTTGACAGAAGTGGGGATATTGGCGGTGCTGTGTACGTCTACATTAACCGGCAAGGCAAATGGGAAGGAGTAAAACCTATTCGCTTAAACGGAACCGCGGACTCCATGTTTGGTCTTGCAGTTGAAAATGTTGGGGATATTAATCAGGATGGATATCCAGGTGAGTGAAAAACGATTGCAGCAAAAAGGTGTGTGGCTTTTTTGCAAATGTCAGACTTGGAACATCTTAACCCTTACCATGATTGCAAGCTGCAGAAAGAGTACGAATGATTATAGATGTTGCAATTTACTTTCAACAGATATTGCAGTAGGGGCTCCATATGATGGTCTTGGCAAAGTGTACATTTATCATGGATCCAAGAATGGAATAAATACAAAACCAGCACAGGTAATGAAATAACCTTTACTATATATAATCAGTCTTGCACAAAATTAAAGGAATGAGAGGGCTGTCCATCTTCTCCCTTTCCGTTACTATTAGTGGAGTGGTGGGTATGCAGAAGAGTCACAGGACCCTTCAAAGACTGCACTGCTGACCAGAAAGATTACAAATTCTTGATTTTAATAAATGTTTTTCTTTCTGGGGCAGTCCTTTGGCACCAATAACGTGTAGAGAAGGAAGAAGGCATGTAGGTGTGTAAGCTTTGTTTTTTTTGACAGAAATTTGGGGATTTGAAAATAATTAGTTTCTTCATTTTCTCTTTCTCTACTACTACTTTACTTCCTGTTTCAATAAAAACTGTTTATGCCTTTTTTCTTTTTTTTCTTGAGGACCACCGTGTTCCATCTGCAAGGTGAGAATGGAACTTGATTACATGTCCTAGAATACTGTTCTAGGAGTGTTGCATATGCAAAACAGTCATTTCTGGTACTCACTGCTATTGCAAAGTAACTTCTTGGAAGAAAAGCAACTCATTGTGGCACTTCAGTGTCATGATTTACCCGAACACAGAGGTCCTATTTCATTGGATCTCTTATCTTTTTTTTCCCCTGGCCATGAGACAATGATGTTCACTTGCTACTTATCTCACTTTTACAGCTTGTAAATGTCTGAATTCCCTCAATCTGTTTTACTTTTTAGATTCTTGATGGTGAAAAAACCAGCACCAGTTTCTTTGGTTACTCTATTGCTGGAAACATGGACCTGGATAAAAATTCCTACCCTGATATTGCTGTTGGTTCCCTTTCAGATTCTGTATCTGTGTTCAGGTATTGTATACAGAACTGTAACTAATTACACCAGTGTTTTGGTTTTAGTTTTTTAAAAACAAACTGCTTAGAAGTGACAAAAAGCTCTTTGGCCTGGAGTGTTATTTTTCCTTCTAGAAGCTGGAAATTTGGGGGGGAGGGTATCCATAAATTGGTTTGTCACTTTATACCCCCTTCTCATTGAGAAGCTGCCTTACAATCAGTACAGGGTAGGAGGGTGAACGTGGACAGTTGCTGTGGAGTGCTGGTGTGCGTAGTGTATCTGTGCCCTAGCTTTGCCCTGTGGTAATTCCTTTGATGGAACTAAGGGAGTGAATTCTTCTCCTTGAAGAAAGGAGAAGTTAACTGACACGTTTGTTGGAGATTTTTTGTGCTGCTCTTGTATAAAAGAACGAAACCAAACCAAACCCCTCTTCAATAGCTGAGGATCCAAAGGCAGTGAGAAATACGGCCTTGCTGAGGTTGCAGTGGGGTCCATAGAACAGCGGTGAGGACGCCCTGCAGACAGGATCCTTTTGGATTTCTGTAGCACGTGCCTTAATTAGGGATGAGGTCACAGTCTTTTGCAGCCCTCTGCTTTTTTTTCCAGTATAATGTACTGTTAAGTTGAATGACTGGTAATGACCAAGAGGACTGTCTCCTCATCTGAGCTGTGAATGCTGCATTAAATTCTGGTCTTTGGTGGTTGCTGTCAGGTCCCAAAGGAGAAAGAGCAGAAGCTCCAAAACTGGTTATCTCCATTTTGGGGATGAAAACAACTCTACCTTTCAGGCAGAACGACCTTTCCTACAATTTTTTGATGATCCTATCTTTAAGGTATATAGTATCTGTGTACATTACACTGAAACAGCACCCACCAAAAGCAACTGGTATTGCTTGTGGAAGAGAACAGAGTAGGTGGAAGGGAAGCTGGTTAGGTTACCAAGTGTTCTGCTTACTCGAAAGGAACTTTAATCATTTGCTGCTAAGGGCAGTACCAAAACTTTCACAAAGGTGAGAACGAAAACCTTTATGGTGACCATCAGCACAAGAGGTGGCCCAGGTAAATGAAATTTGCTAGAACAGGAGGAGGTGGCTTACTGGCTGTTTTAAACCACCCTTAGATGCTTCAGTGAGAGCGGGATCAGCTCATTCATTTGTTGATGTGAACTGTCCTTTCTTGTCCCTTCCAAAAAGGAAGAGAAAGGAGAGGTCAGGCTCAATTATGGTTACAGCCTACATGCAGAGGAGTTGGGAAATGAAAACATTGTTTCCCACAGCCACCCAGGCTCCACATTAAAGCTGTTGTGAACATTAATCTGAATGAACTGTAGTACCTACACTTGGTCACAGGGGATGAATTGCCACTGGGGTTGGAACCATCACTTTGAATTCTCTGGTTTTTATATGTGTATTATAAAATGACAACCACAACATCACATTAATGTACCCTGCTCCCCTGTCAGGCATTTAGTACAACTCTAGCTGGTTTTCGTGACATGCTTTTCTTAGCTTTAAGTAGTTTTATTTTGTTTCTAACCATTACCAAAGCCAAACTGTGTTTCTTGGGGTGTCTTTGTTGCAAGTCAGTGCAGGCATAGAGTGCGTTTGGAATTCATGTGAATTATTGCATTAATCTTAAAAGAAAATGTCCTTCTTGTTTTCCCTTTCTTTTCATTCCCCATTTTTCCCCCAAATGAAGATCTCGGCCTGTGATAAGCATTAGAAGAAGCATTACAGTACAGCCTGACAGAATTGATCTAAAGAAAAAGAACCCTGAGGACCCTAGTGAAATATGGTAATTTTTTAAAAAAACTATTATATCAGAAGCCTTGGTGTATTGAGTTTTCTGTTGTCACAATGTGTTCAGTCAGAGATGGTGTTGAAGTGAAGACACAGGACAGTCATGTGGGTTAAGCAGTGTACCTACATTTGATCGTTTTTGACTTCCTGGATTTGCTGTGACCACTGTGCTAAAGACAAGGTGTGGAATATGTTCTGGTCATAATGTCCATTTTTGAAAATGAATGTCACTTTGCCCCTTCAGACTTTTAACACATAGAATTATCTTAACTTGAACAGCTTTCTCATAAGTAGAGATATAAGAGCAAATGTCAGAAAATATTTTTTCTAGTTGCTTATTAACCATTTTTTGTTGCTTCGTAATTCAGTTTAGTAAGCAGCGAATTACTGTTCTAGCATGAAAACTACAGTCATAAGACTGATAATGTCACTCAATGGACTATTAAAACTTTCCAGTCTTGTTAGACCATGCCTTATTGAAGTTAATATTAATTTCATGTCACTTTTTACAGGATGGATGTGAAAGCATGTTTTCAGTATACCGCAAACCCCAGTGATTTAAACCCAAGAATAAGTAAGTTTTGAAGATAAGTATTTTTCATCTGTTTGCCATGTGGTGTTTTTTTTTTTTTTTATTTTAGAGCATATAATGGAAGAACAGCACTCAAATTATAGTGACTCATCTTAGACTGTGACTGTCAAATTTAAAATGTGACTCAATACTAAGGTCAATCAGCTATCACACTGTCTGTATTTAGAGTCATGCTGGTGTGTTAGGAAGTTCTGTGGATGACAGACTGAACTCAAGCTTTCTGGGTAATAAAACTGCCAGTGAGCAAACTGCTGCCATACAGACCAAACACATTTTGCCTCTCTAGGTTACTGCCGCTTTAGGAAATAGTTCCAAAAGCCCTTTTTATATATCATTAGTAAGCATAATTTCTTATTGGAGACTTACCCTATGAATCAGTGTTTTGTGTTCATGAAAATGGTTTTGTGGAAATCAGTAACTGAAATAAAAAATCTTTGTATTAATAGGAGCCCAGAAGACTGCCATAAATGTAGTTAAAAATGTAAAGCATTAGTTTCTCATGCCTCCATTTTTTTCCTCTTGTTACAATGCTGCTGTTACTACACCTCAGAAAACTGTGTAGGATGTTGAGAAGAAATGAGAAGAATTTGAAGCCCAAACCTCCTCCTTCTCCTGTGTTGTCTTGAGTTTCTAAGTTACTTGTAAAATCCTTAAGATGTTCTTGAATAAGGTCCTGTTCCTTCAAGAGGTCAAGTGCTTCCTGCTCCCAGAGGCAGCTCATGGGTGCCCGTCTGCACGCTCCCCAGGCTGGGCATGCTGGGGGCTGTTCCCATCCTTGCAACGCTGAATTAGCTCGGTGAATACAGAGATGATTACAAGATGCACAGAGTTCAGATCTATCAAAACGTGCCTCAGCATAGAGCTAGAAAGCTCTAGTCACACTTCTGCTTTTACCAGTGTACCTTGCTCTCGAAATCCTGCTGGCTGCTTAGGTGCTATCTGGGACAAAACAGGAATCGGGGACAGCGGAGTCAGAGTATTTACACAGGTCTGAGTCTCAGCCCTCCACCGGCTCCACAGCAGCAATTGCAGCTCCTCCAGCCAGCTCCGCATGCTGGTGAAGTAGTGGGGGGCTTTTGGAATGAAAGGATTTGGTTTGGAAGTTCACTTTAGATACATGCACAGGGCACCTGGTCCTCAACTGGAGAGGAAGAAAACTGACAGATGGAGAAAGCTTTGTAAATAACTGAAAACAGTTTGTGAAGCCCAGCACTGGCTGAAACAGTCTTCTCGAATAATGTTGTAAAATCTACCTGGAGAAATTAAAGTTCTTTTTAATAAGGCGAGGGTTCTTTTTTATAGTGACCTACTTTATTTCTTCATACAGAGATCAACTACACATTTGAAGCAGAAAACGAGCGGAGGCAGTTAGGCCTGCCGTCTAGGGTGCGGTTTAAAGACCACCTGTCTGATCAGTTTACTGCAAGTACAACCCTAAGGGGGCAGAACTCAAAAGAGTGTGTGACAACCAAGCTTGTGCTGCAGGTAAGGCAGAGTATTTTAATTTTATTTCATTTAGATCCATTTAAAACAAAAGCTCTTTTTTAAAACATAAAAGCTCTTTTTTAAAACATAAAGCTCTTTTTGTCAGCTTTATGGTATGTTTGTATATAACTTAAAAGTCACATGCAATATAAAGCTTCAAAACTAGAAAACAACCACAGTTACGTAGTACCTTACTGTTCCCTTCACGTGTGCTTGCTTCCTCCTGTCGCCTTTCTTACAAAGTACGAATGAAGGTTGTAGCCACTGCAGCATGCTCCTGGAGGTCAGTAGAGCTGAACTAATTTAGAATAGTAGGGAGGGAATAAATGCCAAAAATGGAGAACTGTTTCCAACAGAAGTAACTGTTACAGAATTTAACAGTGTGACTGGCTAGGAAAAGAATTCTAGCCCATGGGTTTCGGAGGGGCTGAATGGGCAGGATGGGGAAGGCTGGTATGTGCTCTCTGCCTTGGCTGCTACGCTGGCCCTTGAGGGTGGCGATGCTCCAGGAGCTGAACAAATTCTCTATCGGCTCAGGAGTAACGAGCCAGCCTCCAAAGCTGCTTTGACCACAGCAAATTAACGAGCTTGAACTTACGCTATAGGGAGAAAGTGTGTTATTTTACTGTTGTTGTGTGAGTTTCGGTTGCCTGAGTTACCATCTGTTCCTAGGAATTCTCAACGGTGAGAGACATCACCAGATTGGGAAGCCGGGGGGGGGGCACAGCAGGGCTAGGCTCCTTCTGTTCTTGCACTTTTTTAGACAATGCCGGGTTTCTATATAGTGAATAGTTCTAATGCTGCCAAATGTACCTGAAAAGGTTTTGCTTTACTGCTTGTTCTAAAGTGTATATAAAAAGTCAGTCTTTGTGTTGTTTTAATTCCCTGCACTGTACACTAACTATGACATTTAAAATATGTTAACAGGAAAAAATTAAAGATAAGCTACGCCCCATTCCGATATCAGTCAGTGTTAAAATTGCTGGCCTGGATTCTAGCTCACCGTCCACACGAAAAGAGAGAGCACTTCCGGATCTTATACCAATTCTAAATTCAAATGAATCTGAAACAAAGACCACAAAAGTAAGCTTTTGATATCCCATTTCCCCACAAATCTGCACTTTGATAAATCACTGAACTTTAAAGACTGTAGAAAGCTAAATTATGAATGAAGGAAATAACTGGGGTGGCACTGAACGTGTAACTACTGGCTTATATTTTATATTCTGTTATGAACTTGCTACAAAATGTTATGGACTAGATCTTGTGTTTCTTTTGCAAGAAAGATGAAGTTGGTACAGGTGTTAGGTTTTTTTTTCTCTCCCCAAAAAGTTTAGGAGGAAATGTACTTTTGTTTAAAAATGGGAATCCATTGTCTCCTGCTGTGAACACTTGTCTCACATCACAAAACAATGTACGGTCTCACTCTTCCACGGTTAGGATGCTGTAACAGCATTAGAGCTCTGCAGCAGTGACATAAGAGAGAGTGAGTATCTTGGGTAAAAGATCTCATTTCCTCAACACTCACTGAAGAATCAGACTTAAGGATGTTATTCCTGATTAGAAGTGTACCTCTCAAAATTATCTAACTTGGCCTTTTAGTCACATTTGAAGTTGTAAATTATCAGCATCAGCGCTGTGTCTCTCAAAAACTCTCTTGACAGGCAAGAAGCAAGAGTCAGGTTAAAATCTTGCTCTGTCCAGGAAAGTGTCTCCAAGTTCCCTGTAGATGCTGTGATGAAGTGCACATCAGAAATCTTGTTTTAAGCCAGTATCATGTGGCATGCAGTAAACGTGCTTTGGTTTTATTTAGGTGGAGTTCTTAAAAGAAGGATGTGGAGAAGACAATGAATGTCACAGCAATTTGAAGCTTCAGTACCGGTTTTGTGCTAGAGAGGGAAATGAAGACAGGTTTACTTACTTACCAATGTAAGCCTTGGTTCATGCATCGCTAAAATTCAAATTATTAACAAGTGATTAAAAGAACTTCTAGGAGGGGGTTTTGGGAGATAAAGCAGCTTTGTTCCTGTTAGTCTGGCAGGCACAGCCCGGTGTACAGACCTCTCCGGGTGAGGAAGGTGGGGGGAGTGGGGCTGAGTTTTAGAAGAAAAGAGGTGGCACAGAGTCACATGGATACAAAGTGGCCACAACTGTGCAGGTGTGGGGTAAAAGTTAGGAAAAAAAGTTTCTAACCCCTAGAAAAATTAAATTCTACGCCAGCCTTGCAGTAGTTTCTTGTGTGTGCTACTGTTAACTATTTCTGAGATGAAGTTTGACTGCGAGTATGACAACGTGAGATACTATGGCCTAGTAACCTCAGACAAGCGGTCACAGAGAAGTGAACAGAGAAATCATTTCACTGTAACACGCACCTAACACCCTGCTGCATCCCTCCTCCCTTGAGGGCCAGTGACAGTAGAAAGGAGGTGTAAAACAAGCAGAAGGAGGTATGTTTACTTGCTGTCAACAGTCAACTTCAGCAGCGAGTGCCACGAGCTGACTTGGCAGCCAAAACCACGTGTGCTTCACAAGGTGCAAGTGCTGGTTCAGAAATACTGTGAACTCTTGGCTCCCTGAGGGGTGTATAAGTCTGTTACATCCTGCTAACTGCTGGCCGCTTTCAGAGACAAGTACTGCTCTGGGGAAGAAACCTATGACCATTCAAGTGTTTATGGTCTTACAGGAATTCTTTTCTAATGCAGGGAATTCTATTTGGGTAAACCATAGTTAGAAGAAATGTGTTCGTACACATTTGTTTTCCTAATGCTCAAAGCCCTGTATATTCTGTTTCTGTAGTGAAAATGGCCTGCCAGTGCTTCTTCTGAAAGATCAGAAAGATATTGCCCTGGAAATAACAGTGACAAACAATCCATCTGATGCAAAAAAGCCACAAAAAGACGGTGAAGATGCATATGAAGCTAAACTAATTGCAACTTTTCCAGACAGTCTGACATATTCTGCATTCAGGGAGATGAGGGGTTATCCTGTAAGTATTTTTAAGAAAAAAGATACTCACATTTTAAAATATTTTCAGCATATATTTACTTTTAAATGTATTCTGTTTAATCAGGAAAAACAGCTAACATGTGGTGCTAACCAGAATGGTTCTCAAGCAGAGTGTGAACTTGGAAATCCTTTCAAAAGAAATTCCAACGTAAGTTGCACCTATTTTACTCAAATTATAAAATCTGATTCCTGACTGCAGTCATCCAGTTTCTGTGTGTCATAACTGGAAACTTGATTTGGATCTGTCTTTTTAACTCTAGAACTTGATGGTGTATTTCTGCAATACTGCATATGTTAATATGTTTTATAAAACCTTTACATATTTTATGGATGTTCTTTCTTGTCTAGGTAACCTTTTATCTGATCTTAAGTACCACTAAAGTTAATGTTGATACAACAGACTTGGACATCAATCTGAAGTTGGAAACGTAAGATTTTTTTGTGTGTGTGAGCACTATGTTTTTATATGCAGTTGTAAACATTTTGAATTAATTTGTTTGATTCACAAAAGCAATTTAATAGTAATGTGAAAACCACTAAATTTGTAAAATAAACAGCATTGTTTCCTTTTCATTGTAGAACAAGCACTCAAGTTAATTTGACTCCAATTATAGCTAGTGCTAAAGTGGTTCTTGAATTGCTTTTATCGCTCACTGGGTAAGTGTGATAGCATAACAGATGGGGGAGGGGGCACGGCTGGGGACAACAGTTTTTCTGCAGACTTCATTAAAATCTGATTATTCTATTATTATTGAACAGAGTTGCGAAGCCTTCTCAGGTGTATTTTGGAGGTGACATTGTTGGTGAGAGTGCCATGAAATCGGAAGATAATATTGGAAACCTCATAGAGTATGAATTCAGAGTAAGTAATTTAGATTAATTCCAGCAGCTGCTTTTAATCAAATGAAGAGCTTCTCTCTTTTTGCATTCAAATACTTGGAAAAGTTGCTGGATTTAAAACTGGCGTTTCTTGTCCCAAAGTCCTGCTCGGCCTATGCAGTCTGACTGCAGACTAGAGCTTCTGTAGGCCTCCGCATTTTACAATCATGTTTTGAGGCAGTGGCCTGAGGCTGGCTGTACGCTTATTTCTTCAGAGCAGTTCATGCACATTCAGTTGTACAGCATAAAACCCCATGCAAGCAGGGAACAAAACTTAAACCCAGGCCTCTAACTGTGGCGTGCCCAGGTGTTAGCTGGCGCACGCAGACAGCGAGTATCTGTAGTTACTGCTTGCAGGAGTGAGCAGGCACAGGAAGACGCGGCGGGAGCCACTTTGAACGTGTGGGTCTATTTCACTGTTTTGGTCTTCTGCCTAATTAATAAATCCAGGAGAAAGCTAAGAGAGACGAGTTTGGTTCTGTAAAAACTCTGAGTTGCTTTTTCTACACCATTAATGCAAGCCCCCACTGTCCTGTTTGTCAGGACTGAAGTCCATCTCTGTCAATCTTTAACTTCCTTCTGTACCTGCATGCACGCGTTAAAGTAGAAGCAGTTAGAATATCTGTTTTAGAACTTGCTATTGTGAACAGTAACACTAAAAAAGCAAAAAATAGGTTGGAAAACAACTTCCAGACTTACAAGAGCTGGATATCTCTCTGTGTCAGAGTTCCTTGTAAATTTGCAATTTTAGCCTCAGTTACGTAATGGAATGATTTGTTAACTCTAAACTGGAGTTGTTGCTGTTTCACGTGAAGACAGATTTCTAAAAATGAACTGCTTAAAGTTCACGCTAGGGAATTTTAATCCTTATATGTTTAAACTCTGTATTTACTTGCTATCTAAGTGTGCTAGTTTTAGTATATGCTTTGTCTTCATACTCCGTTTCGACCGTCTTTCATCTGTTTTTACATTTCCTGTTAGCTGCATGCTTAAAACTTGCCCGGGTCAGTAACACTTTCAGTCGAGACCAAAATCCCTTTAAAAAGTATTTCACAGTTTAAAGAATGTTTGTTTTAACAGGTAACTAACTTGGGCAGACCACTGAAAACATTTGGTACCGCTTCCCTGGACATCCAGTGGCCGAAAGAAATCAGTAATGGCAAATGGCTGCTTTATTTGATGAAAATAGATTCCAAAGGCTTGGAAAAAGTCTCCTGTCAACCTGAGAATGAAATCAATAGTTTGCATGTTGCGGTATGTTACCCTGTCTTCTGTTCATGACTTGGCACAACATCAAAGCGGCGCAGCATGTGATAGTAGGGCATAAGAGCTTGCCCCCACAAGGATTTTTTTTGTCTTGAGCAGCTCACCAGCACAATACATGAACACTGTATCAAGGGTTAAGCTTATTCAGAGACTTCATAACAGCTAATGTGGATAACACGCTGAAGGCTAGGTGCTATGTCGTGGTGACTGTTTTTGCAGTGGGCTCTGCTGTCATATGCTCTTATAGGATGAAATTGCCAATTGCTGTAACAAATTTAATCAGCATTATTGAAATCTGATCGAGTTCTTACACAGAAAACAATAAACAACAGTAAACATCTCCCCAGCCTGGGGGAATTCCATGTACTTTTTTAAAGACAAAAGGGCTTTCACTTGAATTTATTTTTTTACAACAAATATGATAAAAAGAATTTGTCAGGCGAGTTTCATAGCCTTTCATTGTGCCTATGTAGGAAGATTTTTTTCCCTGAACACTGACCCTTCATTTTAATTTTCTTTTTCATATAATCTTATTTGGGAGGAGTTTTAATTTTCACCATTGAAACTACATGCACATAAACACATTCTTGTCAGACCACTACATTAGTTAATTACACTCACTGAGAGTTTTATTAGTGTACAGTTAAAAAAAAAAAAAAGCATCTGGTGACCGTAGCACAATCTTATTTTTTTAGCATAGTAACATTAATACCCTTGATATAGAACAAAAATGGAAATAGCATTGAAAGCTTTATAAATCTGAAACCCCATTGACCTATTAAAGAAAGTAATCAGTTGACGTTTCTTTAGGTAATCTCAAATTTGAGTAATTGTCCTGACACTACTATTCGCAATAAATATAGATAAGTAGGGATATATTATGATGTGACTCATGTGCTGATCTTGGAACAAGAAAGCATGCACTGAACTCCTATTTCTTTGCTTGTATGGTGTCAGAATTAAGAGATACTTATAATAACTAAAACTCGTCTCTTTTTTTTTCCTTTTAGGAATCCCATAACTCAAGAAGGAAACGTGAGGTTGCAGAGAAGCAGATTACAGACAGCAAGACATTTTCTTTATTCTCAGAAAGAAAATACAAGACCCTGGTGAGTATATTGCACCAAGTGTAGTCTTGTCACATACTTCCCCCTGCACTTGCAAGAGGGCTTTTCTGAGTTTGGCAGGGTGAAAGAAGGTATCTCTTTGCTTTGTTTTTATCTTAAATACAAGTATCGATGCTTTTAAAATTTGACCATTTAGATTATCTTCTGATGAGAGAGAAATGGGAAAGAATTTCTGCATAGTTTTCTACATTAAAATAAACAGGTAATAGCATCTTCATTGTATTTTCTTATTGCTGTCAGTACAAACAGATTTGGGTTCTTGCACATAAATATGATGCATATAATCCAATTTTTAATCTGGGGGAGGTGTGTTAAACAATTTGTGAGGATGTTTTTATTTACACATAGAAATTTGTAATTGCAGGACTGCCATGTGAATGCACGCTGTGTGGACATAAAATGTCCCCTGAAGGGTTTAGACAGCAAGGCATCTATTGTGCTGCGATCCAGACTGTGGAACAGTACTTTCTTAGAAGTAAGTCCTCTTGCCTGCCACTTTTGGAAGGTCAGAGTTCTTTCCTCTTCTGTGTCTAATGTCCGTATTTTATTTTGAAACAGGAATACTCCAAAATGAACTACCTGGACATTCTTGTTAGGGCTTCGATTAGTGTTCCTGTTGCAGCTAAGAATGTTAAACTCACAAATGAAGTTGCTCAGGTAGGTTCAGCCGTGTAATGCTAACCATACGTTATGGTTGTGATGTTTCCAGCTTATCTCAAAATACTGGGGGGAAAGCCCCCAAACATTTTAAAACAAAAGTAGCTAAGAGTTTAGCTTTTTAACTGAATTTTGAATTACTGATCGGTTTCACCTTTTAATTGGGTTGGAAAAATCCATTACTGTGTTGAATGATACCAATAGCAACTTTTCCTTCAAAAATATTTTGTAAATGAGAGGGGGAAGACATCTTGTTAGAGAAGACATAAGAATGTATAAATTAAAGCTTTATATTAAAACATGGGTGGTTCTGAAATGCTCTTCCCATCTTCACATATTTTCTGTCCTTTAGGTGCGTGTTACTGTCTTTCCTGCAAAACCAGTAGCACTTTATACAGGAGTACCTTGGTGGATCATCTTGGTGGCTATTTTTGCTGGAATACTGATGCTTGCACTGTTGGTATTCTTACTATGGAAGGTAAGTGTTTATTCATCTGATTATTTTACATTTCCTGGTCTACAACTGACAAGACAGCAAACTAATTAAGGAAATGATTAAGTATTTTGATTTGTATTTGGGACTCAAAACAAAGCCAAACTGTGCAAAGCATACATTACCTTTATCAGTTTCTCAGTTTTGCAACATTTGGAATGAAAATAATCACAGTTGTGATGAATTTTTTCTGTTTCCACATCCTCACAAGGAAGTGTTTTGAGCTCTGGGCAAAACTTGAGACAAATGTTCAGAGACCGTAGTTACTTTGATATGGATGGATACAGCTAATTGGGGCTTCTGCAGTTAGGTGTAAAACTTCCTGTGAACTATCTACAGATGTTTTAGCAGGGCTTTGTTCTCATCACACTAGATATACCATTAAACTGAGACTGGATGAAAATAACCAAAAGGTACAGAAATAATACATAGCCAAGTGTGTTGATGAATTTCTGTAGTATTGGCTTTTTATCTTAGAAACCCTCAAGTAAATAAGTGTGTATAACAACAGGTTAACAATTTGCAAAAGCAAAAATCAAGTACCTATTTTTCTAGCTACCTCTGGCATTTTTACAGCTAATTGCGGTTGCAGATATAACAGGGCAGTCCTCTTAATTTTTACAGGCATAGGAAGTTAGTACTTGCTGTTATGTGATAACAGCAGGTTATTAGGAAAGAAGAGGTGAAGAAGAACATCCCATCTGTCACTTTCTTCTGGGGAAACGGCAGCAAGTAGCTTTGCTGTGGAGCTGCTCTTTGCTGCAGGTTACTTCTCACGGGATAGTTCTGACTTCCTTATTTTGTAATAAATGCCCAGGCCCTGCTGCAAATCTTCCTGATGAATTAATACTTTGGGTAGCCTGTTAGGCTGTAACTACGAGTGTTTCACTGCACATGAAAATAAACACATTTTTCACACACAGCATAAAATGCTTCTTTGGATGACAAACACTGTGCCATCTTATGAAGGACAAATGTGGTAGTTCAAAGACAGTTATGACTGGTTTAAGACAAATGCTTGTGCTGTACAGGTCAAAGCAGTACTCGTTGTTCTACCCTGTGTTTTTGTCTGTCCTGTGCACTAGTCCACAAACAGGTTTCTGTGTAGACTTCTTTCTGCTCTTCACAGTCAGCTTTAGTTGCTATGGACATACTTTATAGTAGCTTTTTTAAAAAAAAAAACAAAAAACCCACAAAAAAACCCCAACCACAGATGCATTACAAATTTATCAAAATGCTTCTAAAATAATATTCTTTACCTCAGGTTTTGTGTGTGTGTGTTTTTCTTTTCTTGAGGGGGGTACACTCACACCTATGAAGGGATCATAGGAAGATAGTTCAGAGAGTTAATTTAAGTCAGTTTTAATTGGTTTGACTTCTTCCAGTCCACAAAAATTGACTAAATACCTTGCTTCCTTGTAGTGTGGTTTCTTCAAGAGAAATAAGAAAGATCATTACGATGCCACATATCACAAGGCTGAGATCCATGCTCAGCCATCTGATAAAGAGAGGCTTACTTCTGATGCATAGTATTGATCTACTTCTGTAATTGGTAATTGATGATTTCTTTTTAATTTTTAGCTGTGGCACATGCTATGGTTGCGGTGGCTAACTATGAAGCTTTTACTGCATACGTTCTATTAACTTTTGGATTTCAACTATCATACTTGCTTGCTCATTCTGTTGATAGATTTTCATCTTTTGGTGCACGTGAACAAAAACAGGTGTTTACCTTGGTGTAAAAAGCTTCTTGTTTATTTCTTTAGAAAACACGTTGATCTGTTGCAGTGGTTTTTAGTCTTTTGTTTTATTTATGTTGTAACAGTACAAGGAAGTTTTTAAGCTTGAGAGATGGTAATAAACACCGCGGAGTTAAGATTTACAGCTAAGACTACGTGATAGATAAACTTGTTTTACTAACTTTTAGTGCATGCTAAAAGATAGATGTTGCTTATAATTGACGGGGTTTTTATAATGAGAATTTAAATGCTGTGGAAGCATCTGATGTCCTTCAATACTAAGGTATGCTTTCCTAGGAACGCACTTTCCTCTGCTGAAGCTACTAGATGCATGATGATTTATGCTTCTAGCAACCTTTATTCAACTGAAGATATTACATGCATGTACACTATATTAATAAGTGATGCTTGGGATGAAGTGATGGGGAGGAATTCTTAACTAAAATATGTCAAAACAGAGTTTAATGAAATCTTAACTAAGAGATGGCTAAAGATTATGCCTCAATTTAATTTTTTTTAATTCAGCAGTTCCATGTAAGTTCTAATATTGTTCAAAAAAACCCCACCAGCCCTAATGCTATGAACAAAACCTTGCCATTTTAATCTTTTTTTTCCCCTAGCAGTATATAACGACAGCTGGATGGCACGATGTCTCTTAATGTTGACATCAGTGACCCATAAGCATGTAAAGTTGAGTGTCTACCAATCATCATCTTTGTAACTTTGTAACTGTGGCCATAACTCCATTTGGTTTTGAAAATTAATTTCAGTCCATTCCTCAATATTTAAAATCAGTTTTTTACAGTGGCTTTTAATAAAAAACTGCAGGGCACAAATAAGCTGCACTAGATTTCATCCAGGGAGACTTGCGTCATGGCACATTACAAACCTTTCAAGCTATGTCTGTTTTTTACCCTATGGCAAACTAAGCAAGGCTCACGTTTAATACTGCATATGTGCAGTTAATTCAGGTGACTGTAGTTGAGATGGTGCTTGGAGGAACAAGGCCCTAGTGTAACTTTTCTTGAAAGCTCTGGAAATCTTGCTGTAGGTTTTTAGAAGTAAATCACGTCACCGTACAGGAAAGTACTGAAGTACACAGAGAAGCAAGCTTTCCTGAACTGTATCTACTTCTTTGTGCAGCGTTCTCTCATTGTATGAATGAATAGCTTTATAAGAAGACTTAACATACTCTTAAAACAAACTTAGCAAGTTAGTGGAGGGCTGCTGGAACAACAAATGTAGACCTGCTGGCTCACATTTTTACGGCTACATACGCTACAATTTTGGCCTACATACTTTTGTTTTCAATTTCCTCACCTGTGTATCTGTGCAAAGGAAGAATTTACTGCCTCTATAACTGTAGTACTTTGGCAGCAACTTAAACCTAAACTGTTTTTCTTCTTCACTGTCCCAGTGTGGGTTCTTCCAGCGTTCTAGGTACGAAGACAGTGTCCCCCGATATCATGCTGTAAGAATTCGAAAAGAAGAGCGACAGATCAAAGATGAGAAATGCAAAGACCTTGAGACAAAACAGTGGTTCACAAAATGGAATGAAAATGAAAGTTATTCTTAGGAAAAAACTCTTTTAATCCACAAAGTTCAGATAGAGGTTAAGGTTTTCATTAATGGAATACGGATGGAGTTAGACCTATGAACACTATGGACATTCACCATTTGATTGTAGATATTACTACTTATACTGAGGCTTTTGTTTGCACAGTTAAAATTGCTTCAACAGACTTTATTTGCATTATTTGATTTCCAGACTGCCTCTTTCCTCCTTCAAATCTTGACTCACAGGTTAGAAGATACTGTATTGACCTGGGGTCTTTTCTGCAAAACACGCAAAACCACTACAGCAGACCTTTTGCTGTGATCCTAACCTTCTTCCTAGGTATGCAGGGAATGCGTGGTTAAGGTCAACACAGGTTCTCCATCCTTCCCTCACTGCACAGTCCGTTATAAACACACAGTGGCCTTAACACACTTTGTTCAAGTATAATCTGAAGACCTGCAAATCTACTTTAGTTATAAACTTTGCCTGCTGCAGTAGTTAGGGCTTAACAAAAAGCATCATCTTAAATTACATGTGCAATAGGTCATGTTGCTCAATATTTTTTTTTTTAAGATCAGATTGTGTGATTCTTGCTCACAACAAATATACACAGGTTTTTTTTAAAAGAGAGGCTTGAATATTAGATGTACTTTTTGTATATATATATATTTTAGTCATTTTTGTATTTATTTTTGTTATAAATCATTGTCTTTGACTAACTGTTAGGCCAAAGACTTAACTGAACTTTCAAATTCACTGTGTTTTTGAACTTCAGATTACGAGACCTGATGCTTTCACTGCATTTTAAATAAGTCACTGAAGGTGCCAATGCTTTCTAAAAATGTAAATATTTATTCCAATGATGTGTATGGGGGCTTTTTTTTCCCTGATACTTCTAACTTTATGTAATAGGATTTATCAGGTCTTGTAACATGGTTTGTATATTACTTCAGACTATTTAACAATTTGGACACCAAGCCCAAGTAGGGTTTTTAGATACAGTTCTATACTTACTGCAAGAAAGTGAAGAGGTTCTCTGGAAACAGTTTTCCAGCTTCACAAGGACTTCCTGTTTGGCAAAAGGCATTGACTACTGCAACTGTTCTGTAGCACTTGAAGGAGGCTATAAATGCCTAATTTACCTTAACTATGAGGATCTGAGCTGATCCACGTTGAGACTACTGAATCGTCTTGAATACCTGAATGTTGAAAAAAGTAGAACCACGATGTTGTGATTATTGGTAATCTAGTTATTCTAACATAACTGATAAAACTATTTTAAGAGTTTACTTTTTTACCCATGTTCTAAAGCATTGGTACTATTTAAGAATAAAGATTTAGTTCACAATTGTTTATCCCATGTGAAACAAAATTCTGCTCAAAAAGTATGCACGTTAATTGCTAGTAATTTGGACTATGCAAAAACCTCTTGGTACTTTTTCCCCTCTTAGGGTAAAAACCTGCTAGGAAGGCAGTTGTCAAGTGTCTTATTTTTACTACTAACTTTGAACATACCTTCTTGGAAGGTGTGGTCACCTAAAAATTTGTAATTATAGAAAGTGCAGTAATTTAATAGACTCTTCTTCCACTAAATAATCTCAGTATGTTGTGACCCTGATTTTATGAACACTTACACATGTATTTAGCGATTTACCCAGTTTTTGAGCTTTTAAAACTCTAGCTTATTTGCTGAAATGTTCAGCAACATCAGAAGCCAGGCTAATCAGGGGCTAAGAAGCTTGACAAATAGCCTTGGATTTAAAAGCAGATTGTGGCCCTCGCCTAAGAACATGAATGTCTTAGCAGTGTTAAACTGAAAGTTCTTGAAAAATAAGTCATGTCACTGGTATGCTTTTATCTCAGACTTTTTTTTAATACCAGCTAGCAAGGCTACATCATTCTGTGATTGGAAATTACCTGTGGATATTTGTATAGAAGTGTGAAATAAATTTTTTTTTTAATTAAACATTGTTTTCGTAATAGTGATTTATTATGATTAACCGAGGTAGCCATAGCTGAGTTCACTGGAAGAGTAAGCTGAAAGCTGCAAGCTTTAACAAATTGCCTGGTTCTCCGTGTTGCTGTCTCTCTGTGTTGCTGTCACTCCCCCACAGAGAGGGGCAGCCAAGGCAGTAATGCAGAATCTCGTGCTTGCAGGCTGGCTGTTGCTGCTGGCTGCCTTCTCCAGCACTGCTGTGCATTAGGCACGGAGCCTGGCAGAGCAGGCTTGGGCAAGGGACCAACTGCAGCTCCCGTGGGGCAGAGCTACCCTCCTCTGTAACTAGCGAGAGATGGAGGTGTCCCCCCAAATTAGTCAAGGATGTCACCTACCCATCTGTATTTAGCAGTGGAAGTTTGGTACTGACAGTCAATTACATGATTGCAGGGTGTAGCTGCTCAACCCCACAAAACCCCCCAGAAATGCTAAAAAGATGCGGTGGGGTGTGTGTGTGTGTGTGGGGAACCAACAGAGAAATCCTGTGGTTTATTTCCATTTTTAAGATGTTCACACCCTCACAGGCTGCTTTGCTCGCCTTCGCTGAAAGGAAAGACCTTTTGATGCAGCTAAGCCTGAAGATAAGGGTTAGCTGGATACATGCCAGACCAGTGTTTGTTGTTGCAGCCAAGAAACGTCTAGGACCAGAACCAGAAGATGCTGCTAGATCTTTCAGAGCATGTCAAAGATAATGGACTCAACCTTTTTGAAACAATTATTCTCATTTACGTAACTATACCCACAAACGTTTGTCCACGACAAGACAAAATATGGACTGGGGGAACAGTAGCTGATCATTGGAAGTACAGTACAAATGTAGTATATTAGGTTTCATATATACTATACATATATGGTACTACATGTACTATATACTGTATGTACAGTACTATACATAATAGTGTATGCATATAGTATATATGTGCATATATAAAACCTAATGTACTATATTTGCTATAGAGTGTGTGTGTAGTATGTGTATATATATAAAACAGACACACACTCTTTATAGCCTAAGGTACATAAATAGAATGCTGGTAGACTGCAATACCTCACATATGTTTAACTGTAACAGCACAGGAGATGTATCACGAGAGAAGCTTTCAGTATAAGGGACCATCACAGCATAGTTTCAGTAACCACCTGTGCAGGAGTTCTCTGTGGCAGAAGAGATGGAACAGGGCTCTTGGGCACAGTGTTGGGAATTGGCACATAAAGTGAAGGAAAGCTTTTGAAAGTGGCACTAAAACGCCAACCCCCGTTCTGAGCACCCATGTTACAATGCTGACCATCACGGCAGCAGTGTCTTTACTGCATGAAACGGACTACACAGCAGTAGGAAGCCGCTTACGTACAAACAACTGAAACAATAACTTCTCGCCACACAGAGTAGGTGAGCGTGTCAGCAGTTGGTTTGCAAAACCCAGGGGAACAAACTGTGATGAAACAAACGGGCAACAGCAGCCAGTGCTCCGAGCCAGAGGAGGCACACGGACATGCTGTGGCTGGCCAGACAACGCAGAGAACGCCAGCGGTGTATTTCCCTGTGGTGGCCGTGTAAGCACTTCCTTTGGTTTTTTTACCCCAGTCCTCGGACATCTTTAAATGTCCATTTGTCTTCCTACGCCATGGATTCATAATTCATACCATATACCTTTTATAACCTCATAAGCCTTGCTGGAGTCCTAACCATGATCCTCATGAGAAAATCAGCAACTCCCTACCCTGAGAGACCGCCACAGAAATCAGCCTTAAAACCCAGCCGGGGTGCAACAGAGTCACTGTATGGGGTGGGGGACCTGCAGTTTGTGTCTTCCATACTTGAAGACAGACCTGTCTCCTCCTTCATTTTCTAGCTCTGCAAAATGGTTGTTTGCAAAGAGCGCCTTTTTCAGGCCATACCTGCCTCAAATACTTCGAAGACAGAGAACTGAGTTTTCAACAAGGAGAGATGTCCTTGCTGCTGCTTACCTAACCATTGCTGAACAACCCCCCCCCCCCATCGACATACAGTGCTGTTTATTTCCTCCCAGCTCTCTTCTCAGTGTCTTCAGGGGACAGAGGAGGAAGGAACAGAAAAGTCAAATACTTTTGCCAGGCGTGTATGAAATAATACAACTGCTAGATTGATTCAAAGAAATGTTCACAGGATATTGCTTGGTTTCTGGAAGTGGAGGGGACCAACAGTTAACGTCACAGAGCTGAGAAGCGTAGCATTGCCAGCCAGCTTACGGACAGCTGTGATGATTGATTCCGGCTTAGCAAGGAGGAACAACAAAAAAAATAGCTGTCCTGGACTAGACCACAGAGCCAACTGAATCAGCATCTCGCCTTTGACAATGGCCCATAGTTAAGCACCACGATGGTGATACTTTCCTGTTCCTGTTCCCACAAACAGTGCTCAGCTTCAGTAGCTATGCAGTATATTTTTTTCCCCATGGAAGAAAAAGCCACCCATGATAAGCCATTCATGATAATCAATTATAAAATTTCTCCAACTGTCTTCTGATCTTGAGGCACAAAGTTGTACATGGCAAAAATTCACAAACTCCAAAGTCTCATTATACACTGGGAAAAAATAAATAAGCCCATCTGCACATTCTTGAAACTGCTACAATTCAATAACTCATACAGAAAGCCCTCCATATTTTTGACCAACTTTGCTGTCATTTTTATAGCTTCTTATTTCTACTCCTGCAAGAAAGAGACCAAAGCCACATCAAACCAATGTAACCCTAAGAAAACTTTCTAGCATAGAAAAAGCACCTGAACTTACTGGTAAAAAAAACCCCTAAGAACGGTACACCTTTGTGCAGAGTAAGTACACAAGCTGAAAAGAGGCACGGACAGATGGATCAGATGACTCTGCGGGCATCAGGGCAAAGCATATAAACCATTGAAAGAAAAGAAAGAGATATTCTAGGGATAGCCATATCTGGCAACTTCAGTATTTTTCTTAATCTATGATGCAGCTATTTTGGAGGAAAGGTAGAAAATGAAAGAGGAAAAAAAAAGGCACACTAGTACATGCAGCAACCAAGAACGGTGACTTCCAGTAAGGGGTTATTTATAGTATGACCTTAAGAAATCAAGAACTCTTTCTATGGAATACCCTGCAAGAATACTATGCTTCCAATTATCTTATTCAACCTTAAATGCAATGTTAAATTTTAAATTGAAAGCAAAAATTAAAATGTAATTCCTTAGGTTAAACTAAATGCTATGTTTTCAAT